CGTGTGGATCGTCTTTACCCCTCGTAGTGTATGTTTTTAAATTGTTTATTGTCTTGGCTTCGGCGATGACAATGACGATTCTTCAGATACTTTTCTGATGAGGCCATCGGTCTATGGTTGGGGGTGGATTTGAAAATCAGACATGTGTCGGTGCCGGAGAGAGGTGACGAGCGTTTGTGCCAAGCTGCTATCTTTTCAGTTTTGTCATGCTGGTCCTTACGTCACTTGAGAGCTCATTTCATCCCAAAAGTCCAGACTGAAAGGAGGGATACTCTCCCTTATAAGCTGGTCATGGCCTCCTCCTGTAAGCAATATGGGACTAAACCGAGCCAGCCTCCACCAGCCTAACATGTGAGCACAAATTTATGAGTATTTTCTCTATGCATTTTCTCTGTAAACTAAAAATAATGTTTTTTGCACCCGCAAAAAAAATGTATTTTGAACGGAGGACATAAACGGAGCACGACAAACGGTGCAGTTCGTTGGTGGATATCCCGATGCATTTTCTCTGTAAAAATAATGTATTTTCGGCCCCTACACGAAAGAAGAAAGATGGCAGCCGGAATCCCGAATCCCCCATGGTCACAGTTCACAGGAACTCTGCTTCGAGCCTTCGATCGCCGCCTAGCAAGCTACTACCTCGAGAGAGCAGGAGGCCGCCGCGCGGAGCCACTGACCAACGAACTCCGTGGCCGTGCCGTACCCTGGCCGCGGCCACATCAACGCGATGCTGAACCTGTGCCGTGTCCTCGCCGCCCGGGGCGGCGTGTCCTCCACCATCGTCGTCACCGAGGAGTGGCTCGGCCTGCTCGGCGGCGGGCCCGCGCCGTCGGGCGTCCGCCTGGAGGCCATCCCCAACGTCGCCCCCTCCGAGCACGGCCGCGCCGCCGACATGGTCGGGTTCGTCGAGGCCGTGTACACCCGGATGGAGGCTCCCTTCGAGCACCTCCTCGACCGGCTCGGGGCCGCGCCCGCGGCCATCGTCGCCGACACGTTCGTGCCCTGGGCGGTGCGCGTCGGCGACCGGAGGGGCGTCCCGGTGTGCGTCCTCTCGCCGCTCAGCGTCACCATGTTCTCCGTGCAGTACCACTTCCACCGCCTGCCCGTGGCCGCCGACGGTACCGCTTCTCCGGTGTCTGACAACTCAGGTACAAGTTCTCCAACCCAAACTTTCCAGATCGTAATCAAATTTGTTGGGATTTCACCACAACAATGGTTGATCTTAGTATTGCAGATGGCAAGGATTCTTGTCTGATTGAGAGCTACATTCCTGGCCTGAAGTCAATCAGGTTAGCCGATCTTGAGCCCACACACTCCAACAAGGTAGTGCTGAACCAGGTCCTTGAAGCACAGTGTGTCATCTTCACCTCCTTCTACGAGCTCGAGAGCGACGCCATTGACTCCCTAAGGCGAGAGCTCCGCTGCCCCGTGTTCGCCGTTGGCCTTTGCATCCCCTTCATGGTACTCCAAGAACACAATGCCAGTTCTTCACAAGAGCAAGGCTACATGGCTTGGCTGGACACGCAGCCGGTGAACTCAGTGTTGTATGTCTCACTCGGCAGCTACCTCTCGGTGTCGTCCGCTCAGCTCGACGAGATCGCCGTTGGCCTGGCCCAGAGCAATGTCAGGTTCCTGTGGGTGCTCCGCGATGCATGCGCCGGTGTGCGCGATTTGATCCGTGGAAGCCACTGTGTGATCGTCCCGTGGTGTGACCAACTCAAGGTGTTGTGCCATCCTTCGGTTGGGGGTTCTTCACCCACTGCGGCATGAACTCGACGCTGGAGGCGCTCTACGCCGGCGTGCCGATGCTGACTCTGCCGATAGCTTTCGACCAGCCGATCAATAGCCGGCTGATCGTCGATGAGTGGAAGGTTGGGCACAACCTCAAGGAGAAGGTCCGGGGCGATGACGTCATCGGAAGAGATGAAATTGATGAAGGTGTTAAGAGGCTCATGAATTGTGACGACGGTGAGGGCACGAGGGGGAGAGCTTCGCTTATGAAAGAGGCTTCTCGCGCCGCGGTCGAAGTGGGTGGTTCATCGGGCAGCGATATCACGTCTTTCATCAGTTACATTTCACGGCTCAATAATTGAAATGTTGTTAGAGACTCTGAAAGAAACTTAGGGACTGTTCGAAGTCCCTCCGCTCCACGCTGCTGCTCCCGGAGTTGGTGGAGTTTTAGTTCAAAACTGTGGAGTGAGTGAATCGGTACTTCCCAGATTCCTAAAATCCAGGGAGCTGGTGGACTCCCGAACAGCCCCTTAGTATGTTCATTTGAACAATGTGTATTTGAATTCGAATGACTTTCACTTCCATTGTTGCTGTAATTCTAGTCCCTCACCCTCTTTGTTTATTTTTCCTGAGGTTCCCTTTCTGCACTCTGTGGTATATTTGTGCTTCTCCTTTCCTCTGAATTACAACACATCCCCTGTAAATTCTGAAGTACCGATTTGTAAAGTGATAGTTTCTGGGCACGTTTCCATCAATTGTGGTAGTTTCTGGGCACGTTTCCATCAATTGTGGTAGTTTTTGGTTAAATACTCCTGTTGTCTCTTATTGCCCAGACAGTTGCAAGTACATTATTGTTTGTTCAGGAAAAAAACTGTGAATTGACCAATACCACCAAAGGACATGGAAAATTTCAGTCCAAACGAAGAGAAAGTTTTCAGCTATGTTATGATTTTTACAAGTACAGAAAGGAGGTGGTGGCAAGTCCAAACAGTTTTTTCTAGCTTTCAAAGATACGCTCAGATGATTCACACACACACAAAAAAAAGCATGCTCAGATGGCTGTTGAGATATTCTCAGATGACTTCAATTTTAAGTTTCTGCACAGATCAGCTAATTGTTTCTTCGGCTGAGAGGTAACTGGGTAACTGTAACAAGTACAAACTGAAACAAAGACCACTTGTGAGAACAGGAAAACTTATTCAGTAACACAGCTCTGAATTCGATTCAAACTAGTATGAATTGTTGTAGTGCACTCTGGTCAGGTGTGCCGTATATACAGAGTAAGCAACACCCAGCTCTCTTGATTCGAAAGCCAAGGAAATCGCTATTGAATGAAGTCGATTCAAACATAGTTGGTGTATCATATCAGATAGTAGCAGAACAGACAGTAACAGTAAGCAACCAAGCTTTCAAGATCGAAAGCCGAGCAGCAATTCCTAGAGCAGACTAGGCCAGGCGCTGAGGAGCGGCCACTGCCGGAGGGCGCAGAGACACGCGCCCATACTGCTCACAGGAGTACTTCTTGTAGATGGCCTTGAGCTTGCACTCCGGAGCAGCCGCGTGCGCCATGACCAGCACCTTGGCAGGCTCCCTGAAATCAACAAACAGATAGATTTCTCATGAATTTCAGCTCATTCAGCCAAGTTCATCTTCATCAGGTGGTAGGTAGTATAGACTACAGACAGACAAGCGAATGTATGGCTTACAGGAGCTGGGGTTCAGCGAATCCGGTGTGGTGCTTGAGGGTTTCCGTCCAGACGGGGCTTCTTTTCAGCGTGCACCGGGCGGCGTACACGGCAGACGCCGCCACCAGCGAGGGGCGCACGGTGACCAGCCCGTACTCCATGAGCGCCATCTCGGCGAAGAAGAAGATCATATGCTCAAGCTGCGTTCAACAACAAGAAGAGGAGGAAACGAAATTCAGCAAATGTTCAAGCTGCGTTCAACAACAAGATGAGATGCAACTTCAGATATCTGAATCAAAAGTCCAATGCGTTTTTACCTCCTTGTCGCCGCTCCCCGCGGCCTTGGCGAACCGCACCAGGAAGACGTACGGGGTGGGCACGGTGAGGTTCCACGCCATGCTGTTGAGTATGTTCTTCTCCATGGACAGGATCTGCTGCCGAGAGTACGAGTAGTCGGCTATGGATATGAAATCGTCTACCTGCAAACACAAAGCAAACCGCCACTTCAGATTCAGAGTTCCTTCACAGACCGACAGACAGACAGACACGAGCAGGTGATCTATGGATGCAAATTAAGGGGATGAGAGAAAGTGTTTGGGCCATATATACCTCGGGCGCCCAGATCTAGCATGGCAGCCATGCCGACGAGCTGCAGCTCCCGCCGAGGCACCGCCTGTAAGGAGAGGAACCTGTCGATGACGTACATTGTCAAGTACATGCTCTCGGGCATGAGCTCGAATTTATGGCCCACTTCCACTAGCCAGTCTATCAGGATTGCCCTCATCTTGGGGTTGATCTCGGGCTGGATGCCCATGTAATCTATCGGCCGGCACTCGTGCTGCAACACAACACAGATTGGTGAGCATCGTCAGAACAGTTGCTTGCGGTGTGTCACTTGAGCAGACAATTGCTGAAGAGGGAGGTTTGTGGTTACCTGTGCCTCCTTGTAGTATCTGTAGATGTCGTCGATGTAGTCGACGACGGCGAGCTCGTTGTCGCCGTCCAGCTTGTCGATGTCATCGATTGAGGCCTCCTGCCATTCACAAGAACACGCGAGCAGAGTCAAGGCACTGGGATGAGCAGAGTTTAGGACAACAGAGGGGTTGGTTGGATGGGCCGGGTCGCTCACCTTGGACCGATGGTTGAGCACGGTCGTGAGGGTGTGGACGACCTTCTTCCTGGGGGCAGAGCCGCCGCCGGCGACCTCTGATGGCTTCCTGTTTTCGTCGGAGCCGGTGGCGATCTTGGCGGCCGGCTCAGGGCGAGGGGCGGCGGGCTTGAGCTTGACAGGGACCTTCTTGGCCACCGGCTTCGGGGCGGCACGCGCTGCTGGAGGAACAGGTACGCCGTTCTGCAAACCACAACAGCGATTTAGATTAGAGTCCATCATCAAGAAATTGCTTTGGAAGATCGGAAAGGGGGCTCGTGTCTGTCTGTACCTTAGATGGATCGGCCTGGGCCTTCTTCAGGAGCTGAGCGCCGAAGCTCCGGGTGATAGGCCGATTGATCCCCGCCGGCAGCTGGATCTTGCTGTTGCAGCGAACAAGACCGGGTTCAGTTCAGGACAAAGAAGGGAAGAAAGAAAAGCAGGACGGGATTCGATCCTTGCGCTGATTGATTTTCTTACCCGCCGAGGACGTGGGCGTGGACGACGTTGCCGATGTCCCCGAGGACCCGCCTGTTTCCTCCCGCGCCGGGGCGGCCGCCGCCGGCGGCGGCGTCCTTCTGCTTCCCTGCCGGTACTGCGGCACCTGAACATGACGAAAGAGAAACATGAGTAAAGATCAAGGAATCGCTTCTTTGACGCTCGCATCAGACTAGAAATCAAGAACTCGAGAACTAAAAATCCGATCTTGGCGAATCAGACTCGTAAGACGGAACAGATCAAGAACTCGAACGAAACAAGCCGCAAGAAACCCAACGGCGCAGGCAGGACCAAATCGAGAAATCAAGAACCCCTAGCGCGGTCGTCCCCCGCGCGGCGCGGCGAGAAAGAGAGATTCGGCGGGCGGGCGGGCGGCTCACCTCTGTTGGCCGGCTGCGGAGCGGCAGCCGCGTGCTGGTTATGCCTGGTCGCCATGGGGACTTCTTGCTGTTCCAGCTCCGTTCGAAGATCTCGAGAACCGGCGAGGTGCTACTCCTCCGGCGGGCCTCTCGCTCCGATGCCTCTCTCCTCCTACCGCTGTGAGCCGTTGGGGCGAACGGAAGAGACCTGAAGCTTTATAGAAGCGGGCGGCTGTGGTTGAGGCGGCGGCGGCGGCACAAAGTAGCCGTTGGGGGTTCTTTGGTTCTTGGAAAGGAAAGTTTCCAGCTGCGGTACCGGTCTCGGAAGGATTATCACGTTTCCTGCGCTGTGGAACCCCGTAACGTAATAACGGAAATGCCATCTGGCCCACATTTCGCGAGAAGGCCAACCACGCATCTGGCCCATCTGGTCTCTAAAGCCGTTGGGGATCTTGCGCAGGAAGTCAACTTCAAGCCTGTGTAACCGAACCTCTACACTCTTCGGCTTCGTTGCCTTGGTGGTTGGGGCCTTGCGGGAGGGTAATGCAAGAAGGACCATGAAACTTCAGGGGTCATGCTGTTATCGTAACTCCCAATGATGGAGTGAGGGGGAGGGTAATGCAAGAAGGACCATGGAACTTCAGGGGTCATGCTGTTATCATAACTCCCTATGATTGAGTGACCCAGCCATCCCAACTTAAGCTTGACACTTTGGACATATGGATTCAGATACACGATGTTCCTGGTCTCTACGCATATCTGGTTCCTTCTCCCGCTGCAAAAGTAGGGGAGATTTTGTTGGGTGAAACTGCATGATTTTACTGGTGGGGCCAAGTGGTTCTTTTATGGTTGGAAAGGGCTCCCCACCCTCTGTCGGGGAAACGACACATATGGGATCACAAGAATCCCTACTACGGTTGGCGGGGTGCGGGGTTGTGAGAAGAGCAGGTCTAACAAGAAGCACACAGATCGTTTACCCAGGTTCGGGCCGCAAGGATGCGTAATACCCTAGTCCTGCTTTGGCGAATGTATTCAATGTTCTTGTGTTCTTGAGCTAGCTACGGGGTGTAACTTGCCCAAAAGAGCCGAATCCCACTCCAGTACGCCACGGGCCTCCTTTTATAGTTGAAAGGGGCTGCCACAGTGGCACACAGGAGGTGGAAAGGCCTACAGTACTGCGAGCTTATCGCCCGTATTACAGGACAAGACGCATTTAATGCGTCGCTTAGGTGTCCCTTAGCTTTATCGGGGGCGGGAACGAGGCATGTCCCGTCCGTCGCCGCCTCGCCTCGCTTCGACACGCGCCCAGGCCAGTGACGCATGTGGCGCCATGTAGGCAGGCAGGCAGCTGAGGTGGCGCGGCGGTAGGGTCTTCACGAAGATCTGCAGCCACCACGCAGGTGCTTGCTGAGTTGGCTTGGAAGCCGCTCGTCGCCACGCAGGCGCTTGCCCAGCTGGCTGGGCTGGCAGCTGCATGGGGACGGTGATGGAGCCTTGGAAGGTGTGGGCCTGGTTGTGGCCTCGCTGATGCCCTCGGCAAGGGTCTTGCCGGGGCCCCGGCAAGGGTCTTGCCGTGGCGTCGTGATCGTCCCCGGCAAGGCGCTTGCCGGGGGTCTTGTGGACCTCCTCGGCTAGGATCCCGCCGAGGGTCGCCGTCTTCTGGTCCTCATCTGATCTCACATGTTTATGATCTTGACGAAGATCTACATGCCACCAAGGAGGTGCCTCCCGAGCCTTTGTCCAACGTGGTTGATTACGTTGGAAGTCGTGGGCTCAAGGGTGGCGTGATCAGCTGGTGTTGGGCGAGCTGCTCCGGTAAGGCTCTTGTCGGGGCCGTTGAGGCCGCCTCGGCAAGGGTCTTGCCGGGGAACCTGCTTCGTCCCTTTGATCTTTGGGTTCTTGGTTTTGGCGTTGTCTTGCGCCTCGGTTTCTCTCCGGCTTCCCTCTTCTGCCCTGCTAGGTGTGGCCACGGCGCGTGGCTCTGACTGTCCGTGCACAAGTAAAGGGGTCAAAAGGAGAGCCCCTACTTTTGTACACCGACAGGAGCCCCCGGGCCTGGGCCATGCATAAGCGCGACGTGTTGTTGGGCCAGGCCCAGAACGATGCGCGGGCAGGTGGGATGGATTTTACCGCAGTAACTCTTCATCCGCTACGCTTCCCCACGTCCCGCGTTAAACGCGCGACGTGGAGGGGCGTGCGTGACGTGGGGGTCATGCGTGGGGCGGTTCCTGCACGCATGCGTCACATCACACTTAATGGGAAAAGAGTCGGCCCGCGCCTTCCCCGTAAAAAGGAATAACCGCGGGCGCGCTGCTCATTTACCCCTGCATCTTCTTCAATCTCGGAACCGCCGTCCCCTTCTCCTTCCTTCCCAAGCTTTCACCTTTGCTCGCCGCCGCTGTGCCTTCCTTGCTCCCCACAGCCGTCATGGCACCCAAGACCAGCAGAGGCAAGGGAGTGGCCAAGGACGCCGGGACGAGCGAGCCGTCGGAGAGAAAGTTGGTGGCGCGGCGGACGCAGCTCGCCTACTTCCCCTCGACGGTCGACGTGTTCGAGCTCCGGGACTGCTTCAGACCCCTATGGGGGTGCAAGACGGGGGGGAGACGACGGGGCATCCGGCCACGCGTGTCATCCCCGCCAATTGCGCCGAGGCCGCCCCAAATCGGTACCCGTTCTTCGTCGATTACTTTTCTTGCGGCCTTTGCCCCCTTTCTCCGATTTCTTCAACGATATCATGCACACATTTGGCTTCCACCTTCTGGATTTTACTCCAAACGTCGTTGCATGCATGGCTCTGTTCGCCCACATCTGTGAGGGCTTCGCCGGAGTTCTTCCCAACACGGTGCTCTTCCGCCATTATTTTTACCCTTGCATCCAGAAGGGAGGCGCCATTTCTGGCTGCGTCGCCTGGATCCCAAGGTCCCAAGGGACGTACCCGGAGGGCGCCCGGAAGGAGAGGTGGGAAGAATGGCGGGGCCGGTGGTGCTGGATTGAGGAGGACGATCCACAAGAGTTCTGTCGGGTTCGCCAGGCGCCGCCGGTCCGCAGGAACGACTGGGGCGACGTCGACGCCCAGGACGACAAGCTCAAGATCGCCACCACCAGGATCCACCGCCTCACCGTTTCCAGGCTTACCCTGGAGATGATTGGGGCGGATTTCCTCCGCCGCCTAATCGCTCCTCTACACAACAAGGGAAGGCCGGCCTGGCTTTTCCAGAATGCGTCTGACATCATGAGGCTTCACCCTGGCCTCAATCACAACATCACGGTGATGGGGGCATGCCCACTTCTGCCAGCGGATCTTCCAGCTCGACATGAACCGCGAAGGCTGGGCCGAAAGGTCCGGCAAGGCTGCGAAGGCCGGCAAGGTCGTCAAGGGGCCCCTGTTTGGGTTGCCGGCGGGGGTGGTCCCGCTGAGCAACAACTCGCGCCAGAACGACATCCTCGCCATGATGCCGGACTGCAACGCGCATGGTCCTGTCCAAGATTGGGCCCCGCCGCCGGAGGAGGAGGTGCAGGAGTTCTTTGACGGCCTGGCGGAGATATACGTCCGCAACGAGCCCCTGCTCATCCAGGACTCCACTCAGGCAGAGCTGGACTATATCGCCGCCAGGGCGGTGGAGGCGGAGCTTGCCAAGCAGGCCGGTAGTGCTGGCAGTGTAGAGGACGAGGCTGCAGCGGCAGCGGAGGAGAAGGAGCTTGCCCAGTGGGCGGAGTCAGCTGGGGAGGCCAGCAGCGCTGGCACCAGGGGCCCTCTTGTCAAAGATGTGGTTGACGAGT